GCCCTGCCTGCTGTTACACAGGCTGCATATACCACCTCACCTGGACAACACATACTCATGTTTTTGGTTTTTAAAAAATGCAAGAATAAGCACATTTTATTCATATTCCACTTAACACAATTCACCCAGATAGTGACAGGATATGATTATATCTCCTTTAACTATTTAATTAAAGCATCTAGCTTGTTACAGACCTTTCAGAACAAAACACTGAAGAGTAAAAGCAGTGGCTGATGGGGACGTTAGACTCAATAACGTTTAATATTAAGAACATGTTGTAGTTATCTTCATGCAAAGTTAAGAGGCTGCTCCTACAATAGGCTAAGAAGAATCCCATAGCAATTACTATAAGCAAAGAACATCCAAGAATCATAGGGTATTAAAATATTCCAGAACTCTCTGGACAACTCTTCTTTTTTTAGACTTACAATCAAGATTCTAAGCTACTAAACAATAGGGGGAAACAATAGGGGGAAAAAATCCAATAAGCTTCACTTTACTGAAATAGCATTAAACTGCCTTTGGTTAAGGAATGAATCTAACTGCAATAACAATAAGCAGATGGACACAGAAAAGAAAGTCATTTATACCATCTTTGAAAGAACAGCAACTAGTTCTCAAACACAAAAATATACCTTCTTTTCAAAAGCTGGCAGCTCATTAAGTTCTCCAACCGAAGAAGCTGTCAAATATGGTGTTAATCTCAATAATGAGAAAGCATATTACCAGGTCCTTACCCCCTCCCAACCCAGTCTCCAAGGCACAGTAAAAGTGATATTCTAAAAATGGAAATCAGATTATGTCACTATTCAGAGCTTCTAACTGTACTTATAATAAACATAAATGCCTTCCCATGGCCCTAAAGTCCTATAAATCTGGCCCTCACCTCTCACCAATGTCATCTTGTCCCAGAGTCAGATGGAGCTCCAAGTATGGCCAAGCTCCACCCCCTGGCTTGCCCTCTATTCCTTGAGCCAAACTCATTCCCACCTCAGGACCCCTGTATTTACTGTGCATTTACTCTGCCTAGAATTTTCTTTCTCCAGATTTTCACATATCTAGCTAGTTTATGGTTATCACCTAAGTCTTGGTTCTACTATCTGTTATCTCCTTAGGACAGCCTTCTCTGTGTAATCCAGAGAACCTCCCCCATCCTGACCTACCATTCTCCACCACAGCACTTTGCAGTACTGGAAATTGCCTGGCTGCAGTCCCTGTCCCTCTGTGAGCTCACAGGCTGCACTGCTTTGCCACCTAGCTCTCTGCGGCATCCACCACATCTGGGATAGGGACTGTACCAGGGAGTGAGAGGTGGAGGGACATTCAAGATGGTTGAGATAATGGAACTATGGGTGGCTCATCCCAACTCTCAGGGTTGAATTTGTCACACTGAGTGATTAAAAGCTCCTTTAGTTATTTTACTAATCTTTGAAACAAGCTTAGAAAGCTAAATTGCTTTGCTACTGGTAAACAGCAGTAACAGATTACTAATCAGGATGTAGAGATAATGTAATCATAAACCACTAAACTGACACACTAATAACAATTTGCACTGTGCAAAGACTCTTGAAAAAAAAATCTAAGTGTAATTCAGTGAATTAGTAGTAAAAGTACTTGCAGTAAAATCATCATGGTTGTTTTTAAATGTCACAGTTCTCCTCTGCTACAAGGCACCCAATTGCACTACACTGCTCCCCTGATCCAAGTGCTAGGTTAGAGATACCAGCATGACTATACCAATGAGTGCACAACAGGGTGCTGTGTATGGAGACAAACTTCCATCACCCTTGGTTCCTGACTACAACAGCAGAGCCCCAAACCAGACCACAATGGGTTTGTGGCACCAAAAATTTCAAGTTGCTTGCTCCCTAAATTATAACATAATTTACCCTACTGCAGCAGTACAGCACAGTGACCAAGAACCTGAACTATGGAATCTGAGGAGCTGTTCATTATAAGAGCTCTTTCACTTACCATTTAAATGACCACAGGCAAGCTACAGCCACCTGTTTGGGCCTTAATATTTTCATCCACAAAATTAATATCTATGCTTCATTGAGTGGCTACAAAGACTAAATTAATATGAGAATGTACATACTATGCTTAATAGAGTGCCTGTCCAGTTTGTTAAGCAACCTCAATAGAGAGCAAATGGTATTAAACTCTACCATATCTACTCTAAGCTGCTATGAGCCTACTTGCATTACAACATTAAATAAGTCTAAGGAAAGACTAGAAGACCTCAAAAGTTAAATATAGATGAAACCCAACACATTATGGATTGACTTACCATTTTTTGACTTTATGATGGGTTTATCGGGACGTAACCACAGAGTGAGTGGAGAAAAATCTGTACCAGGATGGATGTAGCATGTTAATGAAAGAAGAAAAAAATAGGAAGGATTTGAAAATAGAGAATATGAGAAATGGGGGTGGGGAGGTCAGTGATTGCTACTCCACCTGCCATTACAGCACGCAGAGCAAGCTGGAATTCTATGTAGAGAGGATTAGAGATGAAGAGAGGAGTAAGTACTGAGTAGGAACAAAGAGCAGAGGAAGAAAGACAAAGAATATGTACTCCAGGGCCTGGCAGAACCCCATAGCTGGCCTTAAAGGGAGAACCTGGCAAGGCACGACCTGGTGGGACAGGATTATTGGCATTGCCTCTCAATGGTCAATGCCAACAATACTGACAGGCGCTGGACTCTATTTTTTTCTAAAATAATCATTTGCTAGCAATATGGTGTGCAGGGCCCAGGACCCTTCAGTCCCTGTCCTCAACTGGCAGGGACACATGAAATAAACAGTTCTGTGCTATTCTCTTAGACAGCATGCCCTTCATCAGACAGGTCTGACAGCTCAAAGCAATGCCTATCAGTTCCAAGAAAGACTACTCCTACCTCAAAATAATCATCAGGATTTCAAGTGAAAGTTAATCTTGCTCAAGTTCACATTTTTTTATGTCTGAATTTTTTTGTGTGGAGTTATTTTGAAGTAAATTTTAGTGCAATTTATTAATTATTTTCACTGGCTGAAAATGAAAGGAATAAATACACAAGTGAAAACTATAAACTATCAAGAATAATTCTTAATTTCTTAAAATTACTGGGACAATCGCTGGAAAACACCAACAGATTTTATGCTACAGCATAAGGATCAAGTCTAAATAGCATGCAACTAATACTTTTTCAATAATGAAACCTAAGCAAAAATGCTGAAAATTTTAGTCACAGAAAGTGAGCAATTTTTATAAACCAAATAAAACTTTCATTACTACCAGACCATTTAAATTACACTCAAATCCGAAATGTGCTAACCATTAGAAACATAAGAGGACACTTTTTCACTGATATCTGGCATTTAACATCAAAGGCAGCCCTCCAAAGATCTGGCATTAGAACTTGTCAAAAGCAGAATGAAACTGTAAATGAGCCAAAAAGAGAAATGGTTATTGCTGCAACTCTTTTGAATGGCAGGTAGTCTTCTTTTAAATGGAAGTTCATTTGGTATACATGGAGTATTAAAGCAAATGTGTGAAGTGTCAAAAAAAAAAAAAAGTTCACACACGAAACACACTACTAGCCCAACAGGATATAAGAATTAGGCATAGTTAAGCCTGAGGTTAAAACTGCAGGCCCCTCAAACAAATGAGCGCTGAATGTGGATGCAACAAGAACCAAGCCAACACTCAGACTCCACCTGGGAAGCACTGGAGAGCATTCTAACCAGAATCCAGACTCCACAAAAGTCCTGAGGCAGCAGAAGAGCAAGCGCCTCTGAGTGACCAGGTTCACATCAAGAATCAGAAAATAAATGAAACCTATGACACATACGCACATCACTTTGTTGGATGAAAACTGTGAAAATCCACTGTTCTTTATTCCTTCACCCCGCCCTCACCATTTCAAAAATAATTTGTCTTCAAAAGCACATCAGTAAATCTCCATGTTTTAAAAAAAATAGAAACCATGTGCCCATGTGTTTGCCAGACTCATTTTTTATGATGTATAGTCCTCTGAATTAAAATAAACATATTTCTGATAAAGAAAGTAATGAAAAAAAAATATCAAAAGAATCCATTCCAAAAATTTCACATCTCTCAATGCAACACAGAACTGAATTTATTAAGCTTCCTCACCTAATGAAATTGGACTTGTGATCTCAAGTTAGAAGCACCTGTAAATGATAAAAAATAGTGTCTAAAGTTTCAGCTGAAGGATACAAAATGTTTTCAAGTCTGAGAGTTCTAAGTTAAGAACTAAAAAAAAAAAATACATACTTCACATTTTTAGGTTTTATCCTGCATATTAAAAAAAAATGTTTTTATGAAGATTTCTGAGAAAATGTTTCTGACACCCATAAATTTCGGTAACTGCAAATGAAATAATATTGAAACCAGAAAATAAGAATACATTAAATCCACACAACTGATTCCACTCATCAGAACACCCTTGAGGTTATAGAAATAGCTGGAGCAGAATAATTTAATCTCCAGGTAATCCCACACCCTTCTGTAAAAAGAAACACATCTTATTTTTCAATATCTGTCCTCTTTATTCTATGAAAAGGACTTTCAAGGACAAAATACTTCATGTTTACACTGGAGCCATGGCAGTCTCTAAAAATAACTCCCTCTTCCCTTTTCAATCAATGGAAAATTGCAAAATAAAAAGTGTTTAAAACGAAAGCTTATTAAGCTTAAAAACAAAGACAAAACCTCACAGTAGAGTGTGGCAGGGGAGAAGTAAAAAAGAAAAGTTAAACTAAAATCCCTAAGTATGAGCCCTTTACTCAGGGACCCACAGAAATGTCAACCCCATCAAACACAGTACATTCCACTCCACAAATGCACACTGTGAAAGCAACAAACTAATAAATGGCATTAAGAAACAAAAGTGAAAATCTGGGAGGAATGAATGTGTGTGTGGCTATCTTTTAAAATCAAGAACTGGTCTGACATCTAGATCATGTATTTGTATAAATTTTATTTTTAAACTCACCTGATTCATTTTCAATTCCTGTTGTGTTCTGTAAAGATACACACAACAAAGAAACTTCTTTGATTACATGAGCCCTAAAAAGAAAAACAGACAATTGTAATATGTACCTGCCTACAAATTCAGTGATTTAAAACCACATTCAGAACTGCAGAGTCTGCTCACAGGGTCATTCACAAAGCAACTGCATGCCAGATTCACTTCAGTCTATGCTGACAACTTCTCAGATTTATTATCTACAACAAAATAGGTTTCTCACTAATCCTTACTAGGGCATCATTGCACTCTACAATCGAAAGCAGACTCATTAGAACTGACATCAAAATTTTGCTTTGGAATTGCATCACTCCCAAGAAGAAATAAATTTGCTTTGTTAGTAGTCAGAAACACAAAGCACCAGGATTAACTCATACCAGGCCAGCGTGCTCTGCCTTCAATCCTGAGCTGCACGTGAACATTACCAGACCCCAGCATGCTACTCTGTTCTTCAAGTCCCTGAGGTAGAAAGGTGAATTTACTAACACTGGCCATGGGGAATATTTTTTGAGGAAAAGGAAAAAAAATGCGAAGATGCAAATGTTTTAATAAAAGAAGTCTAGAAAGAGCACAATTATTCCTTTAATTTTTAGTGTTCAACATATTCATAGTACAGCAAAAGATCAAGACAAACTCTTTCCTTGTGACATTTCAGTCAACAAAGGACCACACACATGAGGGTAGTCCTATAAGCTCGTGCTTCATTGTGACACCACAGCTCTTGGCCACACTGGGCACGTGTACTCATGATGTTCACACAGCTCTGAAGCTGCCTAATGACACATTTCTCATAGTACAGCCTGTAGCAAACTGATGCACCACTGTACTCATTTCTGAGTAGCATCCACGCATGTGGTCCCTTCTACAATGCGTACCAAGTCACAGGATGTTATCATACTACTTGAAGTAGGACTTCCACTGCGACATGCTAAACATTCCTGGAATGGTCACATGTACCATTAAGGGTGATTCTTCTATTTTTTCATGCACTTATTTGAAATAAGTTGTTTTCCTCCCTCAACTCCCAAGACTCTGCTTTCATTGTAACTTTATTTCTAGTTGTTAATAACTCAGGGAATATGTAATTTAGTGATATTCTTCATGCTCAAGTATATACTGCCTACCCACTGTCACAGAAAATTGTGCTCTGACATTTTATACTTTACCCCAGTTCTATATTAAGGATGGCTGATTTTTTTTTTCCTTCCTCTCTTGAGCTATTGAACCACACTCACCTGATCACCTTTCACAAGCAAAGGCACCATATTTAAATCAGGACCTGGTCACATGGACTATAATTTGTAATTGGCATAGGGAATGTGTTCCCTAACGCTGCATCTTGTTAGAGGGCAGTGCTAACCAAACCAACATAATCTCAGTGAGTAAAACATGAGATCCCTGCAGGTAACTCATGAAGCCCATTCCTTTGAAGTTTAATAGTAAACATCTTTCTCACACACAATAAGCATGTCCTTGGTATACATCATATGTTGAACATAATCAATCCTATTGTATGAGACCTGAGATTGTTATTATCACGTTAAAATGTATACTTGAATGTAAAAATGTGATAAGGCTCATAATGCTTAAGATATGCTCACCTGACCTCCCAAGACCACAAATGGCCCCAACTACCGTCAGTTCCTCAAGGAGGTACTGTGCATTACCTTATGCCCCAGGTGAAAAGGCTCTAGGAGTTGCACCTGTTCTCTCACTAAGCTTTTTATGGGTGGGTTTATTAACTTTAGCCAAAGGAAGTTGTCTTTGAAGCAAAAAAAATGTGCAGTCAAAGGCAGATACTCTCCTGAGATGTACAACAGGAGCCACCAAGCTATACCACCTCCCTCGACCATGGTTCCTTCTCACAGCACCATCAGTACCATCTTCATGACCAGGACATAAGAAGCTCCCAGGCCCAGCAGGTCTGTGCTACCTTCGAAGGACAGGCTGGGATAGGATCTTCACCAGAGTGCTAGCACCTCACCAACAAGACAGGTGCAAGCAGGCAGGGGCAAGCTGCGAAGGCCACAATTCTGGCTCCTGCTCCTCAGCCCTATTTCATTGTTGTTCAGGTTTTGTATTTTGGCATCTTCACTGAGATAGCCACATAGCACACAACTCCATTACTCTCAATGCACAACTCCAGAAGGTTTATATTCACAGCTGTGCAACCAATACCACAATCCATTTTAGATCATTTTCATCAGTATGAACAGAAACCTTGTGCCCAATGGCAGTGATCCCCGAATCCCAGTGCAAGGAAATTACTAATCTACTTTCTGTCTCTACAGACTTGCCAACCTGGACACTGAATACTGTCAAAGGACAAAGTGACAATTTACTTTAAAGATTTTAATTGGCTTTACCTTCCACCCTAGAATTGGGCAATACTTCATCCCACAAAATAGAAGTATTTCCTCACCCACCTGTTAACTCCTGCCTCCCCTGAGCACCTATATATGTCCAGCACTGTTCTTGAGCGAGGAACAGAAGGAAGATCCCTGCCTTCTAGGGGAGGAGATCTGCAGTAAACAAATACAAACTAAAGAGCATCAGATAGGAAAGTACTTTAGAGAAAAATGAAGAGCAAGGGAGAAGGAGACAGGGGATAAAATCTGCCTCTGTCTGCACACCCGCAAGTCCAACCATCCAGTCTGAGGGACTGAGGAGTCATCTCTAACAGCCGGGAAGAAGGGCTGTGATGGGGCTGGGGCTGTAGCTCAGTGGTAGACCGTTTGCCTACCATGTATGATGCACTGGGTTTGATCCTCAGCTCCACATATAAATAAATAAAGGTATTATGACCATCCACAACTAAAAATATATAGAAAAAAAATTTTTAAAAGGGCTGTGAGCTGCAAAGCCAGGACAAGGAGCATTAGGGGAAAAGGGTGCTCATGAGAGGGTTCCTGGGGAGGGACCAGAGGCTAAGGGACAAGGAAGCAGTGTGGCTCGTGCACAAGGATGGGGTCAACATAGGAGGTGATATCAGAGGCCACTGCCCAGTTCAAGCAAGAGTGGATGCTTGCTAGGCCCCAGCGGTAGAAGAGACATGAGAAGCAACTGGATCCTGGATGTTTTTAAAACGGAGCCCCCGATTTTGCTACAGTGAGGCATGAAAGGAGAGGAAGTCAGGGATGACACCCAATTTTTGTCCCAAGAGCACAGGAGGATGAGCTGCTGCTTTCTGGGGCACTACCTTCTTTCCACCTGTTTTTCACTTGATTTCCCCTTATTTAATCCTTCTCTCCTTTCCTCTCCTCACCCTTTGTAGTCACTAGCTCTCACACACTATTCCAACCAAGATATCCTGACATCTGATTTCAGATAACTAGTACAGCACTTCAAACACTTTACTCTTTGATTTATTATCTCAATGAATGGTAACTTTTTTTCTAACTTAAAAAAACTAGAGCATAATTCAGATTATTACACGTGTAATCATCTTCTATGACCAGGCTTTGGCATCACAACCCTATAATCCCAGCAACTGGAACTGAGGAGGTTAAGCCAAGAGGATCACAAGTTCAAAACCAACCTCAGCAACTTAGTGAGACTGCCTTTAAAAAAAAAAAAAAAAGTTAGGGATGTATATCATTGCCACTGAGCTTTATCCATAGTCCTTTCTAATTTTTATTTTGAGACACAGTGTCACTAAATTGTGGAGACTGACCTCAAACTTACAATCCTGCCTCAGCTTCTGGAGCAGCTGAGATTCCAGGCACGTGCTACCATGCCCAGTAATACCCTTGTTTTTTTCTCTTTCCCTTGTGACTCACAACATGGTCATCTAAAGTATTTTCCAATGCCAAAAATATTACAAATCTGATACTGACGTCTCAAGTGGCACTTTCAAATCAAACTCTGAATTAAACTATACTAAAAACATGGGATGTTAAAAAAAAATGAAGCCAGGCACAGTGGCACACACCTGTAGCCCCAGTTATCGGGGAGGCTAAGGCAGGAGGAACTTGAGCCCAGAAGTTTATTGACCAGCCTGGAAACCCATCTCAAAAAATAATAAATAAAAAATTAAGTAAGTAAATAAAAGGAAATGGAGACTTCAGGCAGAGCGTCTCCACAGAAGACCACTGTGCATGAGAATGGACGACTTGGGTGAGACTGAGCCTTTCACCATGGGCCTCTAGCACTGTCCTCCGCAATCCGTGCCCACCATGCCTCCAGTCTTTTCCACATCCCAAACATCTACGCGCACCCCCAGCACACTCCCAGACAGAGCCTCTGAACTGCAGTCCTGGGCAACTGGCTGCAGTGTGGTGCACCAGGACGCACGTTAAAGCAACCATGACCCCAAATGCCATTTTAGAGAAACTTCCTTAAGATTCCTCCAGCGGTCTCAAAGTCCCTGTGACCGCGCCTGGCAATCCAACACGGTTCTCACGTTCAGTACTGACTCCACAGCACTGTTTTCACCCACCCACTTCAGTATCAAATGGTATCTCAAGGTCAACATTTCAGCCAAGTTGAGAAATTTCATGATGGATCCTGTCAATACAGAGGCAAGGAGGAATTGTTCCATACCTGTCACTGAAACCTTAACATCCCATGAAATGCTTTCTTCACTGCTAAAGAATTAAATGCTGGGCCGGAAATGCAGATCAGTGGTAAAGCATCTGCCTGTCATGTGCCAGGCCCGAGGTTCCATGCCCAGCATAATCAAAAGGAAAAAAAAAAAAAAAGAAATTAAGTGTCTCAGGTCTTCTAATGGTAGATACTAAAAATCTTAAAAACTCCAGAATTTCTCTGACCATGGCTTATGACATAGTTTCTCACATGGATTTCCACGCCTGATCAAACATTCTTGAATACTTCTAGAGCATTTCTGATTATGTCTTATGTAGTCCTCCTGGTCCCCCTTGTTAATATTAATCAGTCCTGGAAGCAGCAGAAAAAGTACATTGGACAGACATGCACATTTAGAGCTTTTGAATTTTTATCACCAACTATAGTATACTAACAGCATACACTTTTTAAAATTATTTTTTAATTGTGGATAGACACAATATCTTTATGTTTATTTATTT